TTATTTTCAAAAAGATTCCAAGAACTTATGCTCCGGATTCGTTTTCTTCCACAACTTTATAAAATTATCCTCAGAAGGCCCTTGGAATTTTTCTCTGAAGGAGTTGTGCTCCTCAGAAATTTTCAGAGTTTTCATTAAAATTTCCTTCTAATTCAATTCAGGGTTTCTTCAAATTTTTGTCAAAACTTTCAGGCTTCACAAGAAATCTAAAATTCTTCAGAACTACCTTAAAAGCAGATTACATTTGATGTTTATCTGAAAGATTCTTTTCCCAGAACTTCCTTAAAATAAGGTCCTTAGAAATTAAAGTAAAATTCCACGGGCTTTTAAAACTGTGCATGGATTTTTACTCCAGATTCTTGAAAATTTCTTGAAGTTTTATAGCTTTTAAGTCCAGAACTAGTTCAAATTCAAAATTTCTAGGAAATATGCATGTTTCAAACAAAAAAAATACATTTCAGCCTCTGGTTTCTAAATATATATGTTACTGAATATTAGTCCAATGTGGATCTATAAAGTTAAAAGTGTGATACCAGAAACATTAAATGCTTGTATTTTAAAATTCATTCTTTTCTTTAAATATCCTTAGTAAGAAATTTATTAAATTCTCTGAGCCTTCCAGGTATTTTAAGGAAAAATAAAATGTCCTGAGGATTCCCGGTTTTCCAGGTTTTTGCAGTTATTAGACACCTTGACTAATACCGTGGGTTTTACCATTTCTATTGAATCTTTCATTTTAAAGGTTCATATCGTACATAAGTGTTTATGAGATACTTGGTAAATAAGTCTAAAACAGCAAACATTTATTTTCTCTTAGGTCACTTTTTAGTCACTATTTTTACAACTATAACTCACTATTTTAAGTGTCTTCAACATGGTCACTAAAACCACTATTTTTGACACCAGTGATCGCTACCAGCCCTGCTATGGTCATTCATGTCGGTTTGTCGGTGCTGCAACCATCTCGATATCAATTTACAAACAAGGCTTGCTTAATCGCTTAAAGTTTGCAGCAAATTTGCTCGATGATATGAGAAGAGATTTTTGGCATGGCTCACCCTTAGAAGCAGTTCTCCTATATCTTGCATATGGAACACTTGTCTTTAATCCCTTTATATTTTTTTTTTCCTTGAGTACAATTTGAGACCCAGCTCCACAAAAAAAAATATTCTGGATAGTACGCTTAACAAAACACTAGTTCACGGCCAGATTCCTAGTGGGAAATTGTAAAAACAACGCTTTCACCTCCAAAATTCAGTAGCTTAATTTCATCGCGATTGCAATACTAAGACTTTTTTCTCCTCTGTTCGAGACATAAAACTTCTGCGACCAGTAATTTGATCTATTGTAGTATATCCCGTGTCCTTAGTTTAGTGCATGTCGTATTACTTCATCACTATTGAGAAATGAAGAAGTATTCGGTTTTGATACAGTTGTCATTATTGCCTTCATCGCAAGGAATCGATTCCAATTGAAAGGTCATTTATACCCTTCGGAGTGTTGGAACACCCTCCAAATGCGCGCCCCTTTGTCAGTCAAAATAGGATTCCTAAGCAACAAAATTAATGAATGACACCGATAGTGACCATGCATCAGAACCTTAGTCTTAACAACTTCAAACTAGGGAACAGCGAATAGAAGATTAGGAATCACATAGATGAAGACTAACTAATTCATTTTTTCCTTGTTTCAAGATCATCCTCGGTCCAGGCAACCCGAGGACTTATCACTATCAACAAGGCATAAAAAGTAACAAGGACTAAGATGTGTTCCTTTGATTACTGAAAAATCCTGTCGATTTCGGAATCGGTGGTAAAGGGTTATACGGTCAAAATTTGGTCAATATCAACTTGACGTATTTCTTTCAATTTTGCATTTAAAAAACCTGAACACCCCTCATTTTGAAGGTGTGTGTGTGTGTAGAATGTTGTTCCTTGATTTTGGAATTCACTCTTCAGTTGTCAAAATGCCGTCCAAGCAAGAAGAGCAGCGTATCAAAATTTTGCTCGCGCATCGCGAAAATCCGAGCTACTCGCACGCAAAGTTGGCAAAATCGCTAAAAGTTGCCAAATCAACCGTTACAAATGTAATTAAAGTGTTTGAGGAACGTTTGTCGACAGCCAGGAAGTCTGGATCGGGGGGAAATCGAAAACCGGAAGCCGCTGAGACGACAAAGAGAGTTGCCGGTAGTTTCAAGCGAAACCCTAACCTCTCTCTCCGAGATGCCGCAAATAAGCTGGGTGTATCGTCTACAACCGTGCATCGAGCCAAAAAACGAGCCGGACTATCGACTTACAAGAAGGTAGTGACTCCAAATCGCGATGATAAACAAAATACGACGGTCAAAGCGCGATCCCGGAGGCTGTACACGACGATGCTGACGAAGTTTGACTGCGTGGTAATGGACGACGAAACCTACGTCAAAGCCGACTACAAGCAGCTTCCGGGACAGGAGTTTTATACGGCAAAAGGAAGGGGAAAGGTAGCAGATGTTTTCAAGCACATGAAACTGTCAAAGTTCGCAAAGAAATATCTGGTTTGGCAAGCCATCTGTACCTGTGGCTTGAAAAGCAGCATTTTCATAGCTTCCGGGACTGTCAACCAAGAAATTTACGTGAAAGAGTGTTTGAATAAACGTCTGCTGCCTTTCCTGAAGAAACACGGTTGTTCCGTACTGTTTTGGCCGGATTTGGCATCTTGCCATTACGGTAAAAAGGCCATGGAGTGGTACAACGCCAACAACGTGCAGGTGGTTCCCAAGGACAAGAACCCTCTCAACACGCCAGAGCTCCGCCCAATTGAGAAATACTGGGCTATTGTCAAGCGGAACCTAAAGAAGACCAAAAAAACTGCTAAGGGCGAGCAGCAGTTCAAGGCAAACTGGCTTTCTGCGGCGAAGAAGGTGGACAAGGTGGCTGTACAAAATCTGATGGCAAGGGTCAAACGTAAGGCCCGGCAATTCGGATTTGGAAAAGCGGAAGCCTAACTGAATATTTTTCCTGAATTTTATACTAATTAAACTTGAAAAAGAAATTTAATTTGATTTTTTAAATAAACGATTTCACCGATTTACACGCGTTTTCCCTTGACCAAATTTTGACCGTATCACCCTTTAGATCTTACATCCCGTAACGTACCACGAAAAGGTGATCTACCCACGTTCCGGGCAATACTAAGACTTCATTGAGAAGATAATTTTCCAAGCTAAACAGATTTACAATGAATAACGCCACTCTATGCTGTCGAGGCAATGTTAGTCTACGTTTCTTGAATCACTATTCAATCATAAAAGTGCTATTCCAAGGTCATTATCGTAAATATTCATTTAGTTTATTTTCTGAGCTAGTCAGGCTGTTAAGAACACAATGAAGAACAAGAACTACAAGTGTAGAAAAAATCATCTTTTTCTCTTAACTCTTTACCAGTCTTGAATTTGTTAAAAAGCGCGCCAATGCACCCAAAGGCAATTAGGAGTAGCATCTATTAAGATACGCATGTATATTTTACAACAAATAGCAACGTCTAGTGTCTACGGAAATAGATTTTTTGTATCAACCCTCAGGATCTCAGTTTAACTCAGAAATGTGTCAACACCCAGTAGGAGCTGAATTTATATTAGGCAAACAACCATTAATAGGGGAAACGCTTCTATAGTTGCGGTACGTTAGAAGCGTTAGGTTCCTATGGTTGTGCATGGATACTCAATACGCAACTATAGGAACCTAACCTATTTAAAATTTTAAACCATCCTAAAACTACACCGAGTAATTAAGTTGTTTGAAACTAGCGAAGTTTGTCATACTTCTGTGATTAAGAAATATTTCCCTGAATTTCAAGTAAATTCCCTGAGATTCCCTGATTTCCCAGGTCCAAAAATCAATACCCTGATATTCCCCGATTTTCCAGGTTTTTTTCAGGTAGTAATTTTTGTCCAAACCTAAACTGTCGAAAAATAGTCTGGAACAACTTTCAAGTTCTAGACATTTATTAGGCCTAGTTAAAAAATATTTGAAACCCGGTAGCTTTAGTATTCGACCAATTATCGAGAAAAAATCATGTTTCAGAATCTTGAGTACTTTTCTAAGTCCATTAAATTGTATTCTATTTTTTCTGGGCTTGTAATCTGCAAAATTCAAGGAATGCTTAAACCATTTGTTTTATTTTAAAGTGCATGAAAAATTTTCATGATAGGTTTCAGGGTTGGAAGGTGGCTCAGAACGTTTGCACAACAACTTTTTACATACATAACACAGCACTTGGCAAAGAGAGTGTGGTTCTACCATTTGCTTCGCACACTCTTTTCCAACTTGTCTCCGAGAAATCAATCCACACAAGTGGTGGAAAAATCATACTCCATGTGGTGCAGAGAGCGAATGAAATACAAATGGCAACTAATGTCTTCTTTGTCGTCTTTGCTTACCATTCATAGGAAGAGATAGAGAGGAACAAGAAGAACTTTCTGTAGGGTTTCTCATTTGCAATCCTATATTTAGTGCGCTCTTTGTGCCGGTGCGATGGCTACACTTTGCGTGTTTTCGTTATCTGTTGGTGTGTTTCTTTTTTCTCTTCTCCGCTGCACCGCACTAACGCAGTGAGGAATGCTAGCAATCGTCGTTTATAATATTGCAGATTCTAGAAAATCAGCGCACTGCACGCATTGAGTGATGAAATTTCAGCCAACTGGGTCGCAATCAATTAAATATCTTTCCGATCAATAAATGTCACTATTAGTCACTTTATTATTATTTTGAAGTCACTATTTGGTCACTATTTTGTTATCTTAGTCACTAAACTCACTACTATTTTATCACATACCCACTACCAGTCCTGCGAGTGTTAATCTATCTACAACACGAAAAAAAACCATTTAATATTGCGTAAATGTAGCAGTCCGTAAATCCTAACTGTACTTCATCGAGACAATAGCCATCGTTAAGAATCACCTCTGAAGGATTGCGAAAACTCCTTTCTCAAATCCTAACATTTATTCTCCTCATCAGGAAATCGACGGCAAGGCACTGCTTCTGCTCAACAGCGACATGATGATGAAATACATGGGCCTGAAGCTGGGACCAGCCCTGAAGATCTGCAATCTGGTCAGCAGAGTGAAAGGACGCCGTCACAATATGTCATCGATGTAAATTATTGTTTCAATCGTCGTTATGTTTCTTTTATTTGCTATCACTGTGCTATATATAATCCCATTCCATGGGGGTTGTTTTCCCTTTGTTTTTACTTTGATGACTATACGATACCTACAAATAAATGTGAAACACTAGGTATGATTGTATAAAACAGAAACAGTAAGAACAAGCCATTTGGGATGCGGCTAGAGAATAACTATTTATGTTTTCCATAACATATTGCATAGATAGAAACGAATGTGCTAATTAGGGAAGAAAAGAAGCGCAGTTAGACAGTTGCAGTTGAACTAGTGATTAGTTGGATAAAGATGTGTAGAAGAAGAAACGTTCACCACATGACGGTGAATTGAAAACAAAAAAAGGACAGTCGAATACAGGAAAAGCGCTTTTGTTGTACGTTTTGTTTCCTACTATATTATTGTATCCTTAAATAAAAAAAAGTGAGAAAACAAATCTTTTGTCCTTTGTATTTTTAAGTTCAATCTCCAAGGATAATCGTTGTTTACTGTTTGGAACGAAAGAATTATTTCTTTTTCCTTTTTGTAAATCAGGTATAATTTAAGATTTTGTTAAAGATAGTGGCAAAACAGATGTTATTTATTTGTTTCAACAAACATACAGTCATTTTCTATAACTTAACAACAACATTCTAGCAAATAGAAAACATGACCACAGTTTAAATCTCTATGCAACAGAAACACAACGATGCACACTCATTCTAACAAAATACAGTACTAATCAAACATTTAACACAAAAATAGAGCATACTAAACAAACAAACGAACATACGTACGACCTGAACATATTTCGTAACACTGTTGATCAGTATATCAATGATGGATATCGTGAACCGAGATCGGGTCATACGTTTCCTAGAGATGAAATTAGGAAACAATTCTAGATAGAGCTAGAATAAGGGCCTAACAGCTCAGAACGTGGGCGAGTCTTGACTTTCTAGAAATCATCTAGAGAAGGCATTTTTACAAAAGTTGTTAGGCCATTTTTCCAGTTCTGAATTGAAATGTTTGCTCCGTCATTGATCATTCACTTCAGCTGTTTAAATCGGTTTACGAGACGAGGACTCGTTTCCTTACAACAGATCTTGAACATCTTTCGTGCAAATTTCATCAAAGTATTTATACGCTAGCAAAAACATGTAACAGTACTTGCAATAGGTAACAATCCTGACGAATGTGATGCATTCATACCTTACCCGTAGTTTTTCCATTTAATAAACAAGCACCCGGATCAAAATTATCGTTAACATTTTTTACTTTAAATTCCAAAAACAAATAATTATGTACTACACCCGCTTAACTTTACCCACTCATATTTAACAACTCTGATTGGCACAAAAGCAACCGAAATTAAAAAAAAAACAAAAGGAAAAAGGTTACGGCAAATAGGCACCCTTGCGCAGGAAGCAACCAACACAACTAGGCATTAGACAAATGGATCCTCTTCTAAATATCAAACACACACTTTCTCACGTAAACACCTGATGATAGTGAAAACGCAAATAATTGTAGATGTACAGTAAAAAGTAAGCAAAAAACGATATAAGTCAGCAGACGGCGGTAATGATAAATATTATTAACGACTAGGAAAAATGATGAAAATCAAAACAATAAATCACAAATCACGGAAAGTATCTCATTACGCTCGAAATAGGTTTTGTGTGAATATAGGTATGCATTTATTGGCACCCTGTTGTGGAATCGAACAATTAACAAAAAATTATAGAAAAAGGATTTTTGTGTGTACCCGTTGCATTCGTCCTAGATGAAATGCGGCATTTAAATCGGCACTCGGGTTGTATAGAAGATCTTGTGAATAAAAACAAAACAAAATGTGGGCGAGAAAATGAAACTATCAAATAGAGATGTTTTGTGATGATTGTGAACAATGAAATGCTGGATTTTCTCTTACCGGAAAATGATGACACGTATCCTTTTGAGGTCCAGTTTGTGGTACAGTCTTCCTATGTTCCCTTCGAGTGCAGGGCGCAATCAAGTTCATTGTCTCATTGGTATTGATTGCTTCAAAATAGGCACCCTTATTCCTGTTATCAAACGAATCGGATACGCCATACGAAATCCAATTCGTTCGAAAGACAGGAATACCTATACTGCCGTTATACGCATAAGAGTCCCACGCTGCGTAAGGATAATACAAAACACAAATTTGTATGGGAAATCCTTTTCAATCGCAATAGGGAATAGGGGTGATTTTTTTTTATCTATTTCGTTTAGTTGGAAGGCTCAATCGCGTTAGCTTTACGGAGCCAATAATTCATTTGTTCAACATCATAATGTTTTTAACAAAAATTAACTTATATCTATGCAGCGGTGCCGGTGGCGTAGTGGTAAGCCTGATTACCTCTCACCCCAGCAGGCCTGGGTTCAATCCCAGTCGGCGCCGTCGGGATGTTCTGAGGCATAACATCTCTGATCACGTCTTCTCGGAAGGGAAGTAAAGCCGTTGGTCCCATGGTTCATGAGTCAATCAAATCAAGGAAAAAAAAAACTTATATCTATGTCTAGCAGGAGTTGGGCCGAATACTCGCGGCTTACTTGAGGAAGTAGGGGTAGGGTTTCGTTGCCTCTTCAGAGCGTTTTCGCCAGTATGAACGGTAGTGCGGTTCTAGCTTCGTCTGAGGTACGACCGGCTATGGCACTCATCGAAACGGTGGGACAAGACAGATAAAAACTAATAAAGAGAGACAAAAGACAAAGGAATTAAATTCTTATGCTAGACATTTGCAGAAACTAAGGGGTAGGTCACTCCGCACCAGGCTTCCAGTGCGCGCGCTACCGTATGCGAGACGCAATACGAATAGTCTCATAATCATAGCAGTCTCATGCGCAAGAGATTTGTAGCACTCTGTTTCTCTCTCTTCAGTTTTGTCGCATCTCACATTCTCATAATGTCAGTGTGTCGCACTGTTTTGTAAGCACAGCACATTTCCGGATGTATGCGTTTCATGAGAACGAGTATCATGCGACGTCGCGTGAGCCGAAGCTCATGCGCTTTTCGCAATGAGGCGTCGCTAAGCGACGTTTCAATGCGACATCGAAATAACAAACTCAACTGGAAGACCAACTCGTGTTCTTGATGTGGGAAAGTGTTGTTTTGTTTTGGAAACGATGGAAAGCGACCTAGCTACTACACTCTTATCGAACATGGAGAAGAGGTGTCGGATGGTTATGACCAACAAAGTTTTCCTAGCGGCAATTTTCGTTGATTAAAGGAAAAATGGCCCATTCATAACGAACGAAGTAAGAGATGTGCACACTTAGAAATACCTAATTTTACACGTGACGGAATCCATCTTTGACATAAAGGATGAGACGTAAACAAACATGTCATGTAAAATTAAGTGCTCCGAGACTGAAAAGTTCGGTACTCGACGAAAAGTACGTTTGATTGAGCTGAGTTTTGCGTCTATTACGACTCAATTTTATGTCAAAAATGACGCTCGTATATGTCAGTCTCAGAGCACCTAAATTTACATGTACAATCAAGTTGTGGTTTATTTGCTCGTTAATATGCTTTTTTTTAATTTCACCGAGGGTCCACGGTACTAACACTAGGACTATTTAGAAATCTGTCGTCGCAAATTGATTGTTTCAATTCAGCATCATGGTGGCTGATATGAACTATCCTGTGAGCGCTAACACATCTGAAGAATTCAGTTGCTGCCGTAGTAAGTTTTGTTGATTGTAAGGTATTGAATACAATTCCTGAAGCAAGAAGCTTAGCAACAATCCGTAATACAGATATGACACAAATTGTTCCTAAATTTATTACTTTAACCTTAATCCAGCATTTCGTACCTACGTACACTGTGGTGCAAAGTTGATCGGACAAAGGTCGTTTTCATACAAACTAGCCAAGTTTAACATGTTATAAATGTGTTCTGTTATGATCAATTGGGCTGAAATTTTGACGCAAAACTACAAATATGTTGAATTTCACGTGTAAGAAATACCAAATTTTTTGAAGCACCTGCTGGAAGGTGACAATAAAAATAAAATTTGTGCATAGCTGATCGGACAAAGGTCAATGGAAAAGCAAGTTTTGTGTCAAAAATTTCAACTCAATTGATCTGACAGAACACATTTACAACATGTTAAACTTGGTTAATTTTTAAGTGCAGACTTGTGTGTATGCAATGAGAAGTCACCACCAACGTTTTTGCAGCAAAGTACACTTCTGCGTTGAAAATAATCCCTTAAAATAGTGTTCACTCAAGCCAGACAAACAAAAATATTAATCTTCAGAGTTCTATCATTATTAGCGTGTTGATATGATCGGTCAAGTCAGACCGAAATGTGAATTTTTTATTTGATTTTGAGAAAAACGAATTTAAAGGTGGCTGTTCAACATTGTGTCTTATGTAATGGGAAAAATCATTGGACCGTTTTCTCGTGCTACTCTAATTTTTCAAATCTGGCTGAAAAATTGAAATGTAGCTGAGGGAATTCTTGATCTTATGATATCATTAACTCATTTTTTGTTTTTATTTTGCTACTTAGTCCCTTCTGACTTAAGGCCGACCATATGATCTTGTATAGTATAGTGCTGTTTTACATTCAAAATCGTCCATTTATATTTTTACTGGTCTGAGTAAAAGTATTCTGAGGGATTTTGAGTTTAATTTGGTGCAAATGCGCAATAACTTGTTTATTTTTCCACCAAATGGGCTGAAAGCTTCAGAGGCTTCCAAAAAATGTATTTTAGAAGATTTCCGCATAAGGACTTGTTGAAGGACACATAGTTCCACAGATATTCCGGTATTATTTGGGTGCTAACATGCTAACGGTATCCCAACTACCGTAAGGTTGCCATCCACCGCTCACGTAGCCTTCCTTTACCTTCCTTTAGCATCCTTTCGACAAGCAATTGCGTCTTCCTAGGATCATTAGTGGTGATCTTACGGTGATTCCAGTATATCTCTGGAACCATGAGTTGAGTCTGCTTGAATCTATACTAGAAGATATTTCTGGAACCATCTAAAAACTTTACCCCATTTCAAAATCCACATGTGCAAAGGGCCACAAGTCTTCTGTGAACAAACCCTTGCAGTCCCTTATCTCGTCACCCGACAACATCACTTATGATGGGACCGCGAGAGTCAAAGCATGCGAAACAGCGCACGGCGATGGCGCCCTGAGAGAGCGCATTGAGATGTTTCAATGAAACAGTCGCATGTGATTGAATACATGCGTCGCATTGAGAGAGCAATGCGATGAGACAAACAAAAATTGAAACGCTCGAATTTGTTGAGAGCGTGTAGCTTGTCGCGCGCATCGTTCTGGTCTCTCTTTTGTACAATAATGTAGCACACCATGGATTTGAGAGTCATGCGACGCTCCGTCTCACAGCTCGCTGTCGCATTTGTGTACGCGTGAGATTTCCGGAAGCCTGCTCCGCACACGAATCTTGGGTCAACATTTTTCTCAGTGTGCCGCAAGTGTACCGCTGGTGTGCCGATTGTTTCGGCAGTGCCGAGCATAGAGCAAGCCGCGAGTTTTCAAAAAAATACGAAAAGTATGGTTTATTTGGCAACCCAGTATTTCTGACTGCTTGAACGTTTAGGTTTGCAATCGCAACGGCCCCGAAAATGTCGAATATTGAGCTCGATAAGGATTTCTTCTACCGTCGAATAAAACGCCTCTACGCCAGCTGGAAGGAACCATGATGATTCGCTGCGTAGACGAGGAAACCTTGCAGAAGACCTGGCTGCTGGGATACGAGCTGATCGATACGATTACGGTGCTGTGCGAAAAGTCAAATCTTTTTCCTGACCAGCAAGAAGAAGGTTGATTTCCTGAAGCAGATCGAGAAGGACGGTGAGGAGGGCATTCGGTAAAGCTGTTGATTCAGGAAAAGAACGACAAAGACAAGGCCAATTTTGAAAAGCTGCTGGAAGCGATTAAGGGATCCAAGGATGACAAAACGTTGGGCGTCTTCTCCAAGAACAACTTTCCGGGTAAATTATGTGAATCGTGGCGAGCCTTCATCAAGGACAACCCAAGTAACAATTTTAGCTGCAGACTAGCTTATACAACCAAAAGTTGCCTTATGCAGCATAGTTTTGCCTGTATAAGCTGAGCTGTAGCCAACATTGATTGTTGGGAAGAGCGTCCCAATCGCGTATATCATGCCATCCAAGGAGGACTCCGAGGTTATCACCACCAGACAGTAGACGTATTCAACAAGTACATCAAGGATCACATCATGGAGATTATGGATGCTGATAAGAAAGTAAAACATGTCAAACTGTCGGAGGTTATCTAGCAGGCACTGACGGACAAAAGGTACGTCTCCGGTGTGGAAACCAACTAGTTGGACATGTGCTACCCAAAGATTATCCAGTCGGGTGGCAATTACAGCATTCAGCGACAAGAACTATCTGCACTTTGTATCTATCATCTGTGGTATGGGTGCGCGTTACAAGTCCTACTACTCCAATGTCGTCCGAACGTTGCTGGTCAATCCGACGGAAACGATTCAGAAGCACTACACCTTACTGGTCAATCTGGAAGAGAAACTGCTGAAGGTGAACATTCCGGGCAAGCAGCTTTCGGAGATTTTCGACGTCGGAATGCTTTATGCCAAGAAGAAGGATCTCAATCTAAGACGTTCGGTTTTACCATCGGGTTGGAGTTCCGGGAGAATTCGTTCTTAGTACCTTTCACGGCACAATCACAAGGAATTTTTAATGCTTCCACTCAACCTAATTAACTTTTATTTTTGTTACAAATCGAAAACCATTTATTTCATCTCGTATAAGGTGACACTTATACGAAAATAAATCGGATCAGTGGTAACGCCACAGTTATTACCCTTCACCGCCATCAAAGCATATCCATCGTTGTCCCAGTAGTTGGACCAGGAGTTCTTGA